AAAAAAAATGTGTTAAAAAAATTAGATTCTTTTTCTTATTGATTTCTATTCTTTATATATTTTGGATATACCTATCCCAAACATCTTTTCCCACTCTGTGACTTGCCTTTTTACTCTCTTCATGATCATTTACGCAGAAATTCCTTATTTAAAAAAAAATTTTTTTTAATTATATATGAACACAATCTTTGTTTATTTATTTTTCTGTGGTGCTGAGGATTGAACCCAGTGCCTCACATATGTGAGGCAAGTGCTCTGCCACTGAGCCACAACCCCAGTCCAGAAATTCCTGTTTTAATGAAGTCACAGTTACCAGTTTTTTTTCCTTTATGGTTTATATTTTGTGTTCAGTTCAAGAAATTTTGTCTATATCTAAGTCATGAAGGTTCTTCTTCTTTTTTTTTTTTTTTACATATTACCTTGTAGTAAATTTATTATTGTTGTTGCTGCTGCTATTATTGCAGTGCTAGGGATCAAGCCCAGGGCCTTGCTCATGCCAGGCAAGCACTCTACCATTGAGCTCCATCCTCAGCTTTAAATCTTATTTTTCATATCTGGATCTATGATACACCTGGAATTGATTTTTGTGTGTGGGTTTGGTAGGGATCAAGGTTCGATTTTTCCCCCTTATGGATATACAGTTCATCCAGCAACAGTAATTTACAAAATCACTATTTCAATCCAAAAAATTATCTTTTGTTTAATGCATTGCAGTGGCATCTTTGTCAGACTGAGTGACCACATGTATGTAGTCCTATTTCTAGATTTTGTCATTTGGTCTGAACTTGCAGCAATAGATATATAGTCCTAAGTAGATTTGGTTATAGGAAGCTTGGAGAGATTAGGGGATGAAACAGTCTATAAATGGAGTGTGTGCCTGTGTGTGCATTTCCACAAATTTGTTCAAGTATGTGTCTGTGAATGTATGTAAATCTGTGTATCTAAATATTTTCTTAGCATCTGTTTGACCATCAGGGATTTCCTCCTGTGTGTGTGTATATGTGTGTGTATAAGGAGCATGTGAGCATGCATAAGTAGCTCTGTGTATTTGAATATCTAAGCCACCTGTATGTATGTGTGGGTTTGTATTTGATGATCTTAGCATTCCTCTCTATATATCTCTAGGTAACCAGAAGGGTTTTTTCTTTTGCCTCATTTAAATCTCAGGGCAAGAGCCCAATTTATTGTACCCAGAAGGTAGGTAATAAGGTTCTTTCTCTAGTACACAAATTGTTTGAATTCGGAAGTAAAATTATAGATGTTCAGACACTAAGTTGGCAGAGCTTCCTGTGTTAAATATGGAAAATCTGAGACCCAGATAGAGGAAGTGATTTGCCTCACCTCACACAATGAGTTAGTGCCAGACTAAAGTCAGAACCCAGTGTCTGAATTTACAGGCCAGGTCTTCCTGTGGTTGCAAATTACATTTTGTAGTGGTCCAGGGACTGCATGGAGTTGTGGAATTGCACTGTGTACAGAAGCTCTGATCTTTGAGAATCACCAATAAGAAGTGAAAATAGAAAAGCAGTTCTTGGGCCTTGGCCTGCTGGAAGGAGACCACACACATACATTAGGGATGACCAGGCTTCTGCAGTTAGAGAACAAGGAGTACTCTGAACTGCTGGAGACACTACTGGGGTGTTCTGGTGTCAGACAGTTCTGGAAGCTACCACTGATCAGCAAGGTTACCTTATAGTGTTCACTGCAGCAGGGGATGATGTAACCTTTGGGTTTTGCATTGTGAAAACCTTAGGAACCATAGATGAGATCTCAATCTAAGGCTAGAATACCTGAGAAAAGAGAACTTTAGGCTGAGGAAACAGCATGAAAACCTGTAAAGTGCAGAGGCATTTGAGAATGGTATGACCTAAATAGGACACAAGGGCAGGATGGATAGAAGAGAGCAGAGATGGTCATGAGGTAGGTAATAGCCAGATCTTGAAGTGCCTGCAGGCAATGTAGGCATATGGAGTCTGCCCTGGTGAGCTACTAAAATATTTTTAGTAGAGGAGTAAGATGATCAGACTTTTGTTTAAAGAAAAAAAATCTATCTGCTTGTGGAGTAGATAATGGAACAGAGAAGTAGGATTAGAGCATAAAGACCATTTAGGATGTTGTTCCTGTCCACAGGTAAGACTTAATGGTGACTCAGATCACAAGGTGGTAGTGACAATAGGAATAGAGAAAATAGATGGATTCGAAAGAGATTTGGGGCATGGTGGTAGTCTGTATATGGGGGTGAGACAGAGGAAGTGTCCAGGTTTCTTGCTTGGGCAAGAGGGCAGAATAGGAGGACTGGAGGAGCAGATTTGTGCAGAATAAGAATTCCATTTAGATATGTTGAATCTGAACTGGGAGTTAACTTACACCACAGCTCTTTTCCACCCTATTCTTGCTTTGACAGGAATGCTTCAAAATGGGAAGAAATTCGATTCATCCAGAGACAGAAACAAACCTTTCAAGTTCAGAATTGGCAAACAGGAAGTCATCAAAGGTTTTGAAGAGGGTGCAGCCCAGGTAGGATGAGGCTACTCATTAAAGGGAGCCTAAAGAGTTGGGGTGGAAGGTCTGGGCTCAGCACCTCCAACCTCTATCACAGACCAAACTACTGCTTTTACTCTGCTAGGGCATGACAGCGCCACCTAGTGTTCACTCCTAGCTTTGTGTCCTCACCCCTTTGGTTGCCAGCATGCCTGCTTTTTGTCACTGGGGCAATATCTCAAGCACATCCTCCTAGGCTTGCTTGTTACTAGCTGAGGTGGTGAACCAACTGTCCAGGCCTAAGGCAGCAGAGGAGTTAGAGTGGAGTAGGCCAAGAAGGTATTTTGGTTTTGTCTTTTAATTTTTTAAAAAACAACCTTAGACATTGCAAAAATACCACAGAATTCCTGTACATTTTTTAATCTAGCTTCCCCCAATGGTTACATCTTACATAACCACTGATAAAACACTATTAGCCAATCTACTCAAAGTTTTTAATTATTCAAAATTCAACTTATTAAAAAATCACCAAGTGTTCCATTCATGCCTAGTGCATTTTTTTTTTTCTTGGCAATACTGGGGATGGAACCCAGGGGTGCTCTACCACTGATCTATATCCCCATCCCTTTTTTTGAGAAGATCTTGCTAGGTTGCCAGGCTGACTTCATACTTGTGATCCTCCTGCTTCAGCTCCCAGAGTCACTAGGATTATCTGCATGCAATATAGGTAACTAGGATTACCTGGCAATGCCCAGTGGGTTCTAGGCAACTATTGTGATGAACATTGGCTAAAGCTCTTCTTCCTTGTCTATGAAGCATATTACATTCCATCACAGTAGGCCTCTCCACCCTCACAATCTTGCTGTGGCCTCTAATCCCTGAACCTCTTTAATATGCCACCCATGTGTATAATAAGTAATGTGATTCTTTGAATGAGAGTGAGCAAATAAAATTGTTTGGGCCATATTCTAATTGAATAACTAGAAATGTTTGTTAAATTAATAAATTTGAGACTACTTTGTGGATTATTGTCCCATAGTCATATCTGCAGTTTTGAGGCAGAATCCATATTTGTTATACTTAGCACAATTTCAACATGCCATATATTAAATTCATCTCAGATCTTCAGTTACCATGAACATGGTTTGGGAAAATGCCATAGTTATCTCTTTTTTCTTTTAAATCAAGCTGGGTCCTCTTTCTCCTCTCCCCATCTGCCCCCATCCCTGCTAGATGAGCTTGGGGCAGAGGGCGAAGCTGACCTGCACCCCTGATGTGGCATATGGAGCCACAGGCCACCCTGGTGTCATCCCTCCCAATGCCACCCTCATCTTTGACGTGGAGCTGCTCAACTTAGAGTGAAGGCAGGAAGGAACTCGAGGTGGCTGGAGATGGCTGCTGCTCACCCTCTTAGCCTGCTCTGCCACTGGGATGGCTCCTCCTGTTTGGGGCTCTTGATCAGTGTGCTAACCTCACTGCCCTTCGGTATTATCCATTCTTTCTGCCCAAATTGCTCTATATGTGTTTGTCATTGTTCATGTGCATCTTTGCTTGAGGAAACTTCAGCTGCAAATCAACACGTCAGATTGTGCATTTTATGTGATGCATGTAGTAATTATTTCTGATCACAGACCACACAGATTTCTTGTTTGCACAATCTACACTGCCTTACCTTCACTTAAGCCAGATACAAAAGGTGCTCAGACACACAATGTACATGGTGTACACGAGGGACTTGAGCCAGTTACCTTTGCTGTCACTTATAAATTCTGTTGGCTACTCACTTAAACAATTGTCCTCTTTGGAAATAATATGTAAAATAAAGGCTCTGTGCTTGACAACTTCCTGTCCATCCTTCTTGTAGGTAGGAAGTGCCAAGTGCCTTGGGGAAAAGAGTAGAAAGGAGAGTTTCAAGTGGTTAGGAGAGTGGTAATACATTTAATATACAATGTGAGCACTGTCCATGCTGGGCCTTGTCTGCATACTTTTAAATAAATAAAATCACTGATCCTTTAAGCAACCCTGCAATGTAGATATTTCCTATTACTCATCTAACAGGCTCAGAATAACTAATCCCACAAGCCAAGCAGTCCATTGTGGGATTTATGCACTTCATATGATCTTACAATTTCTATTTGTTTGGACTAGAGTAAAAAGGATAAGCTTCCCTTCCCCTAGATGGGAACATTTTCAGCATCTAAATAAATATAAGTGTATTAAAAGCTTGGAACCATACAAAACTCACATTGGGAAGATGCTTTTGAAAAGAATGTGTGATTCTGAACTTATTTTCACATATACTGCTTGGTTTCATCCCAGATTTGCTCTTACATTAGGGAAATTATTTCTGAGATATATGATTCTGAACTTGTTTCCACATGTACTGCTTCGTTTCCTTTTTCTTTTTTTGATTTGAGACAGGGTCTTGATATGTTTTCTAGGCTGGTTTCAAACTCCTGGATTCAGGTAATCCTGCCTCAGCTATTCACACAGCTGGGACTATAGGCACATGCCACCATGCCCAGCTATACTACTTATTTCCATCAACATTTCCTGTAACAAACTGGAATCCCTGGTTAGATTTTAAAATCAGTCCGTATTGCTGTGGGTTATTTTATAGACCAGAGAAAGCGAGGACAATGTTCTTTTTGTTGGCATAGAGTGAGATAAGCTCTTGGCCATAATTAGTGATGACATGGAGGAGAGAGGGGCTGGTAACAGTACCCTGAAGTTTCCTTCAAAAATACACTGATATATGTCACATAATGTCATATATAGGATACAGGGCCATGTCACCCTGGTTACTTCATCCAACCCTCTTGTCTCCAAGAGATTGTGGCTAATTCCTCTGCTGAGGGCCTAGCAGTTAATGAATAGGAGGTATTTAGGATGAAGAAAAAGAAGTAAGAAAGGAACTATCTTCTTTTAATTACCCACAGTCCTGAACTCACCTTCACGGTGGGACCAGACCAGACAGAGGGTGCTGTACTTGTTAAAGGCTGAAGTACCTATTCTTCTATGGGGCAATGCCTTTAGAATGTCTTGGTTCCCTGCTACCCTTGATGAGCAAATGCCTATGATAATTTCTCAGAGTTCAGCCTGTATAAAACACATACCCGCATTTTTTGCTATCACACCAACAGGATAACTAAAAATCACATCTAAGACTATTTCAGGTGCCCACTCTACATCTGCATATGAAAGATGTAAAGTATTTATAGCCTAGATGATAAAAGGAAACATGCACCAAGAACTCCCTAAAAATCAAACACCATTGGCTAGAACCTGGAGAGGATATGCTAAGCTTTATAAGTAAGTTGAGAAAATGACCCATTTTACTGGAGCTCTTACAAGATGCTGCAGAGCCAAGCATGGTGGCACACACCTGTAATGTTACTAAGGAGGCTGAGTTTGAGGTCAGCTGCAGCAACTTAGTAAGATCCTGTCTCAAAATAAAAAATAAAGAGGACTAGGGATGTAGCTAAGGGATAGAGAGCACCATTGGGTTCAATCCCTTGTCCAGTACTACCAAAAAAAAAAAAGTAGAATGTTAAGATACAGATGCTGAAGAGTCTGGACATTGCTTTGTGAGAGCCACTAAAAGTTAAACAGGGGAGTAATGAGATCTGGGTCCTATCAGTTGTTTTCAAACAATGAATTCTCTATTCATACAAATTCTTAGAAATAAGAGCTTTAGCCTAGAAGAAAGAAAAGCAGCTTGAGCACATGTGCCTGTGTATGTTTACATGGA